GTTCTCACCCTTGTAGACCTCTTCACAAATGGTGCTCCAATGGCCTCCTTTAGCTTGGATCCAACACCAAAACTTCAAAACACACTCTTTAGAACCTCAGATCCTAGAGGAAGGTGAAACACTAGGTGTTTGTGTGCAATAGTAAGACACAAAGCACCTAGTGAACAAATGAGAGGGAAAGAGAGATAGAAAATGTATCTCACCCAAACCCTAGAACAAGAGCTTAACAATGGCTGTTTTTGCTCTCAAAATATCCTAACTCTCTAACCTTAGTCTCTCCTCTTTTTGCCTTAGAGAGAGCTCTTCTCTATATTGTCTTGTAAAGCTTACAAGACAAGCTTTACAAGAGGGAGATCCCTCCATACACATGTATGGAGGGATGCAAAAGCAAGACAGCTGTCTAAAAATATCTGCAAAAGCAGATGAACAGCAATCGGCCGGCCAAAAATGCCATCTTGGCCAAAAAGAGTGCCGACCGGCACAAAATAGTGCTGACCGGCAACAAACAGTGCCAGCCGGCAAACTATATTGCCGGTGGCAGCAAACACCAGCCGGTGGCCTCTAGCCACTGCCGGTGATGGGTGGGCATGGTCTACAAGCCCTACCCTGCCTCTTAAGGGCAAGATGCAAGTGTTTGGTGCAAAACCAGACACTAAACGGTCGAGTTCGGGGATCCTGAGGCAAGGCGCGCGAGCCGAGACCTCCGGGAACTCCAAACGAACACAAACATGGATAATCACCGAGTGTTCAAACGGTGACGTCCAAGTCTTGAGGACGGTCAAAAATGGGGTGTCTACACCCTCGTACTTCGCGTAATTTGAACAGTTCCCACCTTTGTCCTATTGTATCAAAACAAAAACTCTTCATTTTGGATCAAAGCACTGCACTTATTCACTTCCTCTGTTTCAATGGTGTACAATTTTCACTGCGGTGCCCCTTTTCTTTGTGGAAGGTGCATCGTGATCTTTCATCGTAGTCTTTCTGTGCTTCTCCTAGCTTGGTTAGCCATCTGACGAAAGGTTCATCGCATATTTCGCTTAGAATACGATAGATCGGTTTCTTGAATATAGTGGTTATGGCAGTGCGGACTCTCAACCACCTTTTATCCTGGTCCTCTCCGTTGTCTCGCCTGCCTCGTCCGTTTCTGCTCGGACGGTCTACCGCGTTGACCTTCGCTGAGGTCTTTTTCACCGGTGCTGTGGTCGCGCCAGATTTTGTTTTGGCACGGGCGCTATCCTCTTCCACCCTAATGTGCTGATCTTTCCATCAAGGCTTCCATGGTGAGGGGTGGTGTCATGGTGATCAAGTCCCTTAGTCTATTCCCGACTGGAAGGCCTCTTTTGTACTGTGCAATGGCGAGATTGGTGGGACAGTCCCCAATCTGGTTGAATGTCTCCCAGTATCGACTATTGTAGGATCATAGTGTCTCCTGTTCGCCCATGTCGATGGAGAGTAGCTAGTCAATCTCCACCGGGGTTTTGGTGTTCGTTCTGAACCTTGTAACGAATGCCTCCGCCAATTGTGCCCAGGAGGCTATGCTGCCTTCTGGAAGTTTTTCGAACCAAGTCAAGCCTAGATCGCCAAGGCTTGACGGGAAGATGATACACATTAAAGCCTCGTTTCGCCGATATACCGCCATAACCTGGCGGAAGTGGCTTAGGTGAATGTAGGGGTCCGTCTTCCCCTTGTACGTAGTGAATTTGGGCTGAAGGAAACCTGTAGGTAGGGGCGCGTTTTCAATTTCCGGAACGAATGGCGAGGTCTGCAGCCTTGCTAATGCTTTGTCTGTCGGTTCGTAGGCAGGACGTGGTAATGGCATTCCAACCTCGACGCTTCCATGCGATCGAGGAGCCAACCGTTGAAGGGCAGAAACTCTGCGAGGGTCGCGCGCCCTGGTGTCCTCCTTCCATTGCGCCCTTTCTTCTAGCATAGTTCGCAAGTCGGACAATCTAGGCATCTCCGACTGCCTGGATGATGTCTGGTGCGTGTGCGAGGGTCGATAGGTGCTTCCCTCAGTATACGACCTCTCAGTCCTCATTCTCTCAGACCTGGAGCAACGAGTTCTGGCGGTTCTGGATTGACTATCGCCTGTCCTGAGGCTTCTTCCTTCGGCTTGTAATGGCGTGGTACGCCTACCATGGTCATTTGAGTGGCAAGGGGGCGTCTTGCCTATGCGGCCCTCTCCTGTCGCCACTTTTTTTCCCTTCATCTGGCGCTTCATAATCTCCATGTCCACCGCCATCCGTCGTATCAACTCGTCTTGCTCCCTCACGCGGTCCTCCAGAACTTGAGGATCAATCCTCCGCCTTTGCCTGTCAGGGCATTGTGAACGAGAGTGACGGGGGCTATTAGTCCGCCTTCTCCCCCTTGTATCCCTCCTGGGATTCTGTCGTTGTGGCTCCAAGTCCGCCATAGGAGGGATTGAAGGCAGGCCTTCGCGCCTTACACCTCCCTCTGGAGTTTGTCCGTCGATGGCGGACTGCGGTAAATCTTCATTGTGCGCCATTGCTTTCAACTAGAGAGGAAAACTTGATCAAGAGGTTTTGCTCTTTATAAAGTTCCCACAGACGGCGCCAATTGTACGAGAAAGAAATAAACCTTCTCGTATAATCATGTTGATCAAGTTCGTGCTCCTCCTTACGACGTCGCTTTACTCCTTGAAAACACAAACGTGAGCTAGCCGGCAGGTGTGTGCCGGATACCTCTCCGATGCCTAAGTCAACAAAATAGACAAAAGCTCTATGTATTCGAGAATCAAAGTTGTGTTACCTCCTCATAGGTGATATTGTGAGCTTTTATAGGTTCTGTGTGGCACAATCCAAGTAGGACTCTTACTCCTCCATGTAGAGTCCTCCTAGGATTCATACTCCTGAAAGATAATGCTTATCCTTCTACACCCCCCTCACTGCTTAAACCAAGTGAGATGGTTTTACCATGGTCGGACTCCAATATGGCCGAGGTACGCATGGCTACGCTTAGCCGTAGAACAGACCGAACTATCCTTAGTTCGGTTGGTCCTTTTACTGCCCTTACCTCAGTTCCTCCTGTACAAACCGTGGTAAGTCTAAACCGAGCTAACCATATTGCACCATAACCGGTATAGGTTTTAGTATGGTGACTGAGCTATCCTCCTTGGGACTGGAGTAACTTTACACCTCACTTGGGTCGGAGCAACTATACACCTTACTTGGGCCGGAGTAACTTTACACCTCTCTTGGGCCGGAGTAACTTCATGGCCTTTTTACTCAGCCCTTCACACTGCGGCCCATTACCCAGCTCGGCCCAATTTTCTTATAAATTACCCTCTCAAATATGATTCGGACCGAACCAAGTTGGGACTTTTAAGGTTTGTGATTGTACAGCACCTAGAGCTCACTGGGATGAGTGCATACCAGATGTTTGTTGAAGTGATTCATAAATTAACTCTGATGACAACAAAACCATTTTTGGCACGGTTGCGAATACTTGAAACTGAATATTGTATTGATGAGATAGGTAGAATATGTATGAGTTTTGACAGGCCAAGCCACAAACAAGGCTTTATTCCATCAAGATTTTGGAGATATGCTCGGATAGTAGATTCGGGTTATTTCCTAAAACTGCAATCTAAAAGCAACATACTGGCTGTGGCCATTTTATCTGTGTTGTGTTATAGATATTGTCATACTGACAATCGTAACATGGTTGTCCTGGCTAACCAAGATCAGATTAAGAAAGATGCAGCTAAATTTGTTGACGATTTTGAATTTGATTATGATATGCTGATCTTTGAATCAGATACCAGCCCTATCCAGAAGATATACATCCAGGAAAAGTATGCAGTCCGGAAAAGGTAGAGGACAGCAGCAAGTACAGACACCGTGGATGAGGCAATGGACGCATAGACAAAACAGGTTCTCCTTGAGCCCGAAGAGGCCTTCCCTCACATTGGCATATAATTACGTTAATCATTGTAAGGTACCTAGTTTTATAGTTCTAGTATTAATATATGTAGTGGTTGTGTGTTTTCAATATTGGAGATATGATGTTTACTTATTGTTGATTAATATGTATGTATTGGCTGTGTGTTTTCAGCTATTGTAGATATGATGTTACTTATTGTTAATTAAGACGCATGTATTTGTTGTGTTTTCAGGTATTGTTGATATGATGCTAGTTATTGTTACTTATATGTATGGATTATTGGTTGTGTGTTTTCAATAGACCTGAACCTTGTTTCATATCAGACAAATTTTCAAAATAATTCTATTTAGGTTTTTTAATAAATTCAATGTTAAATCAGAAACCAAATTTGTAAGACACCATGATATGAATACTATCAAGACCGCTGAGGATATCAAGTGGCATCTAACACCTTTAGTAGTCTCGAACCACATCTAAACAACTCACCCAAGGATGCATTAAGCAGTGGATCCACTGGTCACCCAAGGATGCATTGAGCAGTGGATTCACTGCCCCCAACACAAACAAAGAACGAAGTCGGGAAAAACGCTCGCTATATTCTATATTTTCCGATGTGCTTTCGATCAATAGGCAGTGAACTTTCTCTGGCCACCTTGAGCCCTTGTATAATGTTTTCCTCTATCGCCTTTGAAAGAATAATTTCACGCATCAGGTTGTGAATATGGAAACTATAAGGCTTTCCATTGAAACCTCTCTGTGCCACTTGAACCAGGCTCCTATTGAATAGCTCATTGAGGTAACCCTCTACAACTTCTTCTATTGTCTTTCCGTCAGTAGCATTCACAAATCCTTCTGCTGTCCAAAGTCAAATTAGTCTATTGCATAGTATTTGTTGATCCTCAGGGAAAATGCTCAAAGTACAAGAGAAAAATCTTCAGATAATAAGGCAGACCATTGTAATTGAGAGAGAGTTCTTTTTTCATTCTCTCTAGTTTTTCATTGCCCTTGAATTCAGCACCAAAGCTGCGATAGAGCATTTCACATTCTTCTATTCTGCTCCAATCCTTTGTAGCTAAAACACCACTTATGGCTACAATTGCAAGTGGCAATCCCTCGTATCTTTTTAAGATTCGAAGAGAAATTTTCTTCAAATGTGAAGGGCATAAGTTCCCCCGAAAAGTCTTGTTGCAAAACAGCGTCCAAGACTCCTTTGGGGACAAGAGCATCAAGTTATAGACATTACCTTTAGTTTCTTCGCAATAAGTAGAGGAAATATGTGCAAAACAAATTGTGAGAATGACACAGCTGCCACTATTGTTGTCAGGCAGTACATATTTGATAGCCTCCCAAGCGTTAACATTCCATACGTCATCAAAAACTACCACGTATCTCCTTTGTTGTAGAAAATCTTTACCCAGGCATTTCAGCCTATTGATGCTCATAATTTCAACTCCAAAAGGAACTGGTTGCATGATTTCACTGAAGAGTTGTTGAATCATGTCCTTCAGGAGATCCTCAACCTTGATTGACTCAAAAACAGTGAGCCAAGCATGGCTGTTAAAATGATTCTTCACCATTGCATCATCGTAGACTTGTTTTACAAGGGTTGTTTTGCCTAAGCCTCCTATTCCTACCACGAAAACTACTTTCAGCCAAGGACCTTCTTCGACTAGCCACCCAATCAATGATTAAATTAAAATTAGGTGTATAATAGAAGAGATAAAAATGAAAATTGGTTATTTTCGTGGAAGGGTAAAATAGTCTTTTGACTACTAACGGTAACAGAGGTTAGATTGCAATTTAGTCCAAAATTATAATAGGGCAATATGTCTATATTTGAATCATAAAGGAGTAAATTGTTCCAGACTTAAACTACAAGAGAGTAAATTGAATTTTAACCTTTTTTATTTTTAGATTTTTTAGTAAGTCTTAGACAATGACTCAAGTGGCTTAAAAGTTAAGTTGTCTCTGGGATAAATTAATTGTTGACACTACAATTTTTTTTTTAAATCAATTTCTCTCCAATCATTCATCAGATGGGAGAGGTCCAGCCCGCTCTACTGTGAGCCTATCTTAGGCCCGCCTTTCATTTTTAGTATGAATAATGTACTCAACAGGCTCTATAAAATGAACGATTTGAATCATTAAGATAGGTTCGAGATAAATTCACAGTGAACCAAATTGAACCTTTCCTGTCCAATGTCAAACTAGAGAAAAAACTACTTCCTTTTAAATACATCAAAAAATATTATATAAATCTCATAGCATGAGCAAGAAGGTTGTTGGGTTTGAACTTAGCTCATTATTGTGATCATCTATGTCTTTATCCACTGAAACAACTGTAACGCTTTAATTGTTGATATTTAAGATTGTGTTTGAACTAAGAATTTGAAAGAAATTTGCGGGATAAAGGAAAACAAAAGAGAAAAATGGAGGAAAAAAAAGAAGCTTCTATTTCATTTATTTTTCTTTTCTTTTTTTCTTTTGTCTCTTCAAATTAACACAACTAAATGCTGAAATCGAATTTACCTTGGAGATAATTTAAGACCAAGTTGTTTTAAAACTTTAGTAAATGTTGGATATAATAGTCATAATTCCATTTGTTATTCATGTAAGATGGTATGACCGTTATCCTCAATATTTTTTTTTCCTTCTTTCTAAAATTGATACTTCATGCCATCACAAAAAATTTAAGACCAAAACAATTTTGTTTTGATATAAGACATCTTTGAGAGTTAGCTAAAAAATATTAGGGAAAGTTACGGATAAATCCTGGAATTTGAAAAGGTGGTCCAAGTAATCCTTAAATATATTTATTACTCCGTTTGGTCCTGGTTGATGTGTTTTTTCAAAAATGCCCTTGTTTTTTTGGTTATGTGTAAAGACGGTTTGAATGACTTTTTAGCATGGGGTGTGATTGGGTGTCACGGCGGCAAAAGCACTATGGTAGTTTTTGTTAGATTGTAATTGTATGACAGTGTGTTGTCATACCAATGTAACCCGGCACAGCTAAATTGGCCCGCGTGTTATGATATGGAAACCCTCAAATCAAGCAACAGTGTCGCATAATCTCTAGTTTTTTGGTGTTACCATTTTAGTGTTACTGGAATTGGGTGATTGTGTGGAATTGGGTGAGTGTGTGGATATTGATTGGGGATTTGGAGAAACACGGTAGGGTTTCGAGTGAGATTGTCCTTTTTTTTCTCGAATTTGTGTGTTGGAGGCGTAGTGTATTGTAGGGTTTAGACGGTGGTCGGTGTGTGTAAGGTGTATTGGTGGGAACATCGCCATGTGGGACGAACATCAACAGTGGCAATGGCTCACAAGTGTAAGTTTTTTTGTTTTTTTTGGTAGTCTTGTTACATTTTTTTTTTTTTTTTTTTGAAAGTTGTTGAAGGGTGGGTCTGTATTTGGATGTGGGGTGGGGCATCTGTGTGTTTGGGTGTTTTTTTTACCTGTGTGACATGTATGTTACATTGTTAAACCATTATGTGTTTGGGTGCGTTTGCGATGTGGATGTTATTGAGTGTCGGCATATGTCCACTGATGGGGTGTATGTTTGAGAGTTGGATGTTGTGTGTGAACTCATATGTGGGGTTGTGGGAGAATAAAAAGTGTGTGTGATATGCACATGTTTGGTCCCCATATTATGTACTGAACGTGTTGCTCTGTAGTGCTTTTAAATAATTTGTACAATCCTTATGTGTGTCACATGTTGACATGTGTTTGTAAATGTATGTAGCCCAGATATTCACTTGTGTAAATGTTTTTATGGGGTTGTTTGTAGTGGTTCACGATGGTGTTGTTAACGTAACGTATGATGACGTAATCAAGTTTGAGGGGGAGAAGGGGTGTTAATGTTGCAATGTATGTGTTTTGGTGGTTGTAAAAGGTAGTCCGATAGTTGGGAGTGATGTTAGAAATATTGGTTGGTGCACCGGAACATGGTATGATGGGTGTGTGTCACGGGGTAGTTGTTACGGTTGGCGTGTTGTCAGATTTGGGTAACATTAAATGTGGATGTGCCACGTGTGTAACAAGTGGTTAATAGTGTGGAAAAGTGGGGGTGTGGTTATAAGTTGCAATGTGTGTTATTTGTAATGTGTCAATGGCAATGGGAATGGGAGGTGGACCGGTAAATGGTAATGTGTAAACTGTACAAGGAATGGTAAATTAATTTTGTTCCGAACAGTATTTTTTGTGATACATGTTCTTTTAGTATATGTTATGTTGTTGGGATCGCACACTGAGTGTTTTTTTTTTTTTGTTTGAAACAGAAAATGTTGTGCGGATGAGGAGCCCGTGGACTTGGTCGGTTGAGCGTAAACGTTTAGAGGTTTCACATGTAGCGTCATCGTCGAGGCTTAGTCTGAAGTTACAGGGGCGTGTTTTGTTTAAACAGCCGCAAAGTGTTGGTCAGAGGATACGGTTGCCTCGGAAAGCAACGCGGCATATAAATTTTCGATCTAACATGTCAGGTATAATTAAGGTTGTTTCCGAGTTGGGGTTGAGTGAAAGACACTTTCGGTAGCTGAGGCGGACACCATTTTGGCTAATGTTTGAAGCCATCATTATCAACAAGCCAGACTTCAATAAGTACAGAAAATGTGACGATCTAGTGGTTAAAATTTTGAGGACGTCTAATCTACGTGACGATGCGTTCTACGTTGGTGGTTGTCCAGTTAAAGTGAGTAAAGCTGACATTAGGCTGGTTTTCGGGCTACAATGTGGTGTCCAGCATTTGCAGGCCCGATCCTGAGGGCAGGCCAAAGAGGCCTGCGCCTCAGGCCCCCAGATTTGGGCTGAAAATAGGGCCCCAAAATATGATTTTGTGTTTTAGATATTAAAAAAAAAAAAAATCAAATATTATAAGCTCAATTGAATATGGGGCCTAAAAAAAATATCATGATAGAGGCCCAACTGAACATGGGCCCAAAAACAAGAAACACATTATAATACCCACCCTGAGGTTGAGAAGAATGAATTCATGTGGGTCACTAAAAGAAACATTGAAAGAAACACATCTCTCTCTCTCTCTCTCTCTCTCTCTCTTAATGGACTAATCTCTCTCTCACATTAGACTGATGAAACCGTGTGAGTCCACCTTCAGTCCTCTCCTCTCCTCCATATTTGACGGACGCTGAGCATTAACGATTTTGGGCGTCAAAACTATGAGTCTCTCTCTATGTATATATCACATTTAAATGGAGGAAGTTTTTGCCCTAATTTTTTTCCTAATTTCTTGCCCTAATTTTTCCCCTAATTTTCCTCCTAATTTCTTGCCATATATAATTTGTTCTTTAAATTAGAAAATTACCTAATTTATGTGCTTTAGTGGAAGTCTATAATTTTTGTTATGCTCTAATTTTGAAAGTATATTATTTGCAAACATCAATGATTGTGAATTTGTGTGGATTTGTGATTATATAGAGTAGTCATGCCTCCTAGGAAGTATATTTCTAGATGTGAAAAAAGGAAAAATAAGCAAAAATTAGAAAATTTTATTCAATCTCAATCGGGAGCGCTTGATAAATTTTTTGGTAGCAAGAAATAAATAGAAAGTTCATGTTTGGTAGATGAAGATTTGGTAATTGAAGAACTTAATCAATTTAATGAGAATGATAATGAAGATTTGGGTGTTGAAGAGCCTATTGAATGTTTGAATGAGAATGAAAATAATGATTTGGTGAACGAGGAACCCACTAAAAGTGAAGATTTTAATGTTGAATATGGACCTTTAAATATTAATGACCAAAGTAATTGGGACAAGATTGATCAGAATTTCAGAGATTTATTAGTTGAAAAAGGTCCTATAAGAAGTAATGTTGTCAATTTTCCTAGAGATGACAAGGATAGACATTTCTCCTCTACATATTACATTCGAAATTTATCAAATGGAGAGAAGCAAGATAGGAAATGGCTAGTATATTCAGATGCTTCAAACAAAGTGTTTTGCTTTTGTTGTAAGTTGTTTAAGGAAGATGGGAACAAGACTCAGTTGGCTACTAATGGATTTAAAGATTGGAACAATCTAGGTCACAGGCTTAGAAGTCATGAAACTAGTAATGAGCACATTACTTGTATGAAAAAATGGATTGAATTGGAAAAAAGATTGCAAAAGAATGAAACAATTGATAAAGGTGTTCAAAAACAAAACAATAGGAAGAGAGAACATTGGAAAAATGTGTTACTAAGTGTTACCCAAAAAACAACCTAAGAGGGGGGTGAATTAGGTTTTTACAATTAAAATTAATAATACCCTAATAAAAATTATGACTAGCACAATAGATAAATATAATTAATGAAATAAAAATAATTAAAACAAGTGTCTTAGCAACTATGTCAGTTAACGATTTTAGTACAGTAAAAATGTGAAACATAGCTATGGCAATTTAAAATAAAATAAAGAGATAAGGGAGAGAGAGGCAAACAAATTTATAGTGGTTCGGCTTCAACTAGGCCTACGTCCACTCCTCAAGTTTCACTTGAGATTTTCCACTATCTTCTAGTTTTACAGGGATGCTAGCAACCTCTTTACAAATGGAGCAATCCTCCACGGATTTTACATAGACTTCAC